TGTAATCCATAAATTATTTAAGGATGAATAGGTATCAATTTTATAGAAAACATGAATTCATTACTTTAAACGAACAAAAAGAATCAGAGGTAGCATCATGCACTGGGAAGAGAAATGGACAGGAAGTACGAAACCTGAACTAAACAGAATCCTAGACGAATCAGTTACTGTGAAGCTTCTCTGGGTTACAGTTTCCTAATGAGAAAATGAGGAAGTTGAATGTAATGACCTCAAAGGTTTCTTTCAGCACTAACATTACATGAATTTAAGTGTCTAATTCCTACATAAATTTTAAGAAAGACTTAAAAATAAATGGATCATTTTACCCCTCAATTATCTCAAGTATAAATACATTTAATGAATAATGCCCTTTTCCTTTAGTATAAGCTTTTATAATTTGGTTACATTACAAACTACATAGGGCATTATATCCCTGACATTCTCGAAATACTAAATAGGCAGTTTTGTCTGCATCCATAATTAAAGAGATGCAGTAATGATAATACAAGTACAGAAAGTCCTTCTGGTAACACTGCACACTGCTTCAAGAGTGAGGAGAAAATGTTAAATGTTGGTAATTAAGGGAAGAAGGAAAGAAAAAACTGCATATCTCAAAGCTCTCCTTCTCAATCCAAACATGTGTTCCAAATAAAATAAAATACTGACACAAGCTGTTCAAATTATTAGGAGAATATTTGGATTTGTAGGTAAGCTCACAATAATATGACAAAACAACTATAATACAGATTTTCATGGGAAGTATTACTGAGTTCCAGATGGTTTCAAAACTGAGTTTGTATATGTGTCTGTATTTTTTTTAACTTTCAGAAGCCTCCATTATCTTATCTCAGTATCTATCAAATGGCTCTTTCCTTCCTACCATTTGCAATAATATGGATGGACCTAGAGGTTATGCTGATGAAATAAGTCAGACAGAGAAAGATAAATATCATATGATCTCACTTATATGTGGAATCTAAGAAACAAAAAGAACAAACTAATCAAAAACAGACACACAAATATTGAGAACAATCTGGTGACAGCCAGAGGAGAAGGAGGTTGGGGGTCTGGAAGAAAGGTGTAAAGGGTTAAAGAAGTAGAAATTAGTAGTTGATAGATGGCCATGGGGATGGGAAGTACGGCATAGGAAATGAAGTCAGCAGTAAAGTAATGGCTAGGTAGAGAGCCAGAGGAGAGAAAGAGCAATTAGGGAGATCGTTTCATAAACTATATAAATGTCTAACCAATGTACTGTATACTTGAGACTAAAAATAAAATAAAATAAAAAATAAAATAAAATCAATAAAATAAAAAAATAAAATGGCTGTTTCTTGCATTATGTTAATCTGCTGATAGCTACTGCAGGTGTAATTTTCCACTAATTAAAAATTGAGGATGATCTTCGGAAACATGGCAGAGTGAGAGACGTCCCCAGGTCTCTCCTCTTGAAACAATAAGTTGAACATCTAAAACTCAACAAAAAACACCCAAACTACACACCAGCACATCTGAGCGTGAGATTTGTGCATAAGAGATACCACAGATCAGAACCCTGGGTGTCAGGCGGTGGACTGGGAGAAATGAAGAAACTGCCTCTCGCAGCCACCAAAGCTACCTATAGGAGAAGGGGGAGGGAAGAAGGAGCGGAGAGTTCCCTGAACAGCCCTGCCATGGAAAGCTGTGAGCTACCTGCAGCCGGCCTGCAATAGGGCCCAGTTATCAGGGCAGAGGCAGAGAAGTGGGATGGCAGAAAAACAACAGCTGATTTTTACCAGCCATGGTTGTAATACCGAGGCTCAGCCACAGCCCCCAAACCCCAATCCAGAGGCACCCTCTCCCCATACCCTCTGAGACAGAACACCACGGAGCACCAGGGGAATCTGAGCGAACAATGCCAAAAATGTCACTAACACTGACAGGGACTGAGACTGAGAATAGAGAGATTGATTGAATGTGTATAAGGAAAATAAAGGCATTATTAAGACTTTATATAAAGCAGAGATCCAAGAGACTTAGACGCCACCTACTGGAAACTGAAAGAAAAATGCTTTCTTTGTAACAGGTAAAAGGAGTTCTTTATATAATAAATCTTTCGGGGTGGGGGGAAACCAGAATATATTTCCATTAATGCCCAGGTGAAGAAATAGTCCATTAAACACCATGAACAACCAAGGTGACAAGGCATCTCAGAAAGAAAGAGAAAAATCTCCAGAAAATACGCTTACAGAAATATGCAATTTAAATAACAAAGAATTCAGGATGGTACTTGTGAAAAAATTCAGTGAATTCCAAAACAAGTCATATCAACAATTTCAGGAATTGAAAAACATCTAGATGAGCAGAGCAAGGAGACTGAAACCCTCAAAAAGAACCAAATAGAACTCCTGGAGATGAAGAACACACTGTAAGATTTGAAAAATAAAATAGCAAGCTTGGGAAATAGAGTCGACCAAATGGAGGAAAGGATCAGTGATATCAAAGACAGAAATCTAGAAATCAGAAGGAAGGAAAGAAATTTAAGAATGAAAAATAATGAAAGAGAAATACAAGAACTAGCTGATACCATCAGGAGAGGAAACATAAGAATAACGGGCATTATCAAAGGCGAGGAAAAGGAGAAGGGACTGGAAAGCATTTTCAAATAGAAGAGAATTTCCCAAATCTAAGAAATGAGCTGGAGCTTGGAATTCAAGAAGTCAACAGAACACCCAATATCTCAACCCAAAAGGGCCTTCTCCCAGACATATTGTATGAAAATTATAAAAAACCAACGACAAAGAATTCTCAGGGCACCCAGGAAGAAGAAATCGGTAACTTATAAAGGAAAATCCATTAGATTATCATCAGAATCCTCAGCGCAAACCTTACAAGCCAGAAAGGAATGGAATCAAATGTTTAAACTATTAAGTGAAACGAACTAACAGCTTAGAATAATGTATCCAGCTAAGCTCTCCTTTAGATATTAAGGAGAAATTAAGACCTTTCTGAACTTACAAAAATTGAGGGAATTCTCCACTACGAGGCCTGCACTACAGGAAATACTGAAAGGGGTCAGCTCATCTAAAACAAAATGACCAAAAAAAAAAAAATACATAATTAGGAGTAAAGTGACTATCAGACAAATAGAAGTAGAGGAGTGCAACTCTTACTAAGAAAAGGGCATGGTAAGCTTAAACAATAAGAAGAGATTTGCTATAGCAAGATAATAATGAACATTCAGCATACATAGGGACAAATTGAGATAACAATGACTGAAAAAGGGAGGATTCAAAGACCCAAATTCACAAAGAGTAATGAAGATAAGGCACACAAAGAAAAAAATGGACAACTGTATGTATATGATTATCATTTACATATTCGTAATGGTATCACATACAAAAGATTCAGAACTGAAGTGTATAACATAAAACAAGAAGGACCAGAGGGAAAACCCGCAAAAGTCAACCAAAATAAAGAAAACAGAAACACAAGGTCAAGTAGCAATGGAAACACCAAGCTACCAGAAAGCAAAAGATAAAATGGCTATAAAAATACCTCATATTTCAATAATCACCCTAAATGTAAACGGATTGAACTCACCAATAAAAAGGCATACAGTTTCAGATTGTATTAAAAAAAAAAAACAAAAAAAAACTATATGCTGCCTCCAGAGACACATCTCAGTTCCAAACACAAATATAGACTCAAAGTGAAAGAGTAGAGAATGATGTTTCAAGCAAATGGCATTCAGAGAAAAGTGGGAGTAGCGGTACTAATATCAGACAAAATAGGCTTCAAAATAAAAAAGGTAAAGAAAGATATTGAAGGACACTTCATGATGATAAAGGGAATCATGCACCAAGAAGACATAACACTTATTATTATCTATGCTCTCAATCAGGGAACCCCGAAATGTAAAAAGCAATTACTCACAGAACTAAAGAGAGAAACAGACCAAAACACTATCATAGTAGGGGACCTAAATACACCACTGTTGGATATGGACAGATTATTCAAACATAAAATCAATATGAAAATCACATTCTTAAATGACACATTAGACCAACTGGACATAATTGACATTTATAAAGCCTTTCATCCCAAAACAGCTGCTTATACATTCTTCTCTAGTGCACATGGAACAGTCTCAAGAATCGACCACATACTGGGACACAGAGATAGCCCCAACAAATATAAGAAGGTTGAAATCATACCAACCATATAAACAAATTAAAAAATAAGAATCATATATGATCATATCAATAGATGCAGAAAACGCCTTCAATAAGATACAGCATCCATTTATGATCAAAACAATTCACAAAATCGGTATAGAAGGAAAGTACCTTAACATAATCAAGGCCATCTATGATAAAGCCTCAGCCAACATTATACTTAATGGTGAAAAACTAAAAACCTTCCCTGTAAGATCAGGGACAAGGCAAAACTGTCCACTATCGCCACTCTTATTCAATATAACATTGGAGGTTCTAGCAAGTGCTATCAGGCAAGAGAAAAATGTAAAAGGCATCCAAATAGGAAATGAAGAAGTTAAGCTGTCACTATTTGTGGATGACATGATTCTTTATATCAAAAACCCTAAAGACTCCACAAGAACACTACTAGAAACAATAAGCAAATACAGTAAAGTTTCTGGATACAAAATCAACATTCAATAATCCATAGCGTTCCTATACTCTAATAATGAAGTGTCAGAAAAAGAAATGGAAAAATAATTCCTTTTGCAATTGCAACAAAAAGAATTTAAAAACTAGGAATAAATCTAACAAAATATGTGAAGGACCTATATAATGAAAACTACAAGACCCTATTAAAAGAAATCGAAGAAGATACGAAGAAATAGAAAGATATTCCGTGTTCTTGGATTAAAAGAATCAACATAGTTACCTACAGCATTATACAGATTTAATGCAATCCCCATCAAAATCTCATTGGCATTTTTTAAAGAAATAGAAAAATCATCAGATTTGTATGGAAGCACAAAAGACCCCGAATTGCCAAAGCCATCCTGAGAAAAAAGAAAGAGGCTAGAGGCATCACTCTGCCCAACTTCAAATTATACTACAAAGTGACAGTGGTATTGGCAGAAAAAACGACATGGTATTGGCAGAAAAAAAGACACACAGACCAGTGAAACAGAATCGAGAGTCCAGAAGTAAACCCATATTTATATGGGCAAATAATTTTCAACAAAAGAGCCAAAAACATATAGTGGAGAAAGGAAAGCCTCTTCAATAAATGATGCTGGGTAAACTGGAAAGCCACCTGCAAAAGCATGAAACTAGACTGTTGTCTTTCACCACACACCAAAATTAACTGAAAATAGTTTAAGGGACTGAACATAAGACCCGAAACAATAAAATGCATAGATGAAAACATAGGAACTAAACTTGTGGACCTTGGACTTAAAGAAAATTTTATGAATTTGACCTCAAAGGCAAGAGAAGTAAAAGCTAAAATAAATGAATGGGACTACAAAAAACTAAAAAGCTCCTGCTCAGCAAAATAAACTGTCAACCAGGTAAAGAGACAACCTCCGAATGGAAAAATATATTTGCAAGCAATGCCTCTGATAAGGGCCTAATATCCAAAATACACAAAGAACTCATACAACTCAATAACAAAAACAAACAAACAAACAAACAAACAAACAAAC